AACTGCAAGTAATATGCTTTTGAGCTTGTATTCCAGACTGCCGTAATAAACTGACGTGAATAATTTAGAAACTTAAGTTCTGACCTAACGAAACGAGGAAGAATTTTAAATATCCTTGTGACGCCGTCGTCTTCGTCAGAATTTTTACCATCGTCATTTTCTTTCGAGAAGTATTGATCCGATTCCACGATGGTGGTCAAATCTTTTTAGAGCCAGACGCTAATGTCGGTGTATAAGCTCCAGAATATGCCTATACTACCATTTGTACCACTCGTATGTCCCTCTGGCATTTATCACGCCCTCACGTACAGTTCTAGCGGTTCCAAGACTTCGGAGAAAACTTCTGCGGTTATACGGTATCGTTTTGGTTGATAACTCATCGCAATGAATAGCGCCAAACAAACAAACAAACAAACAAACAAACAAACAAACAAACAAACAAACAAACAAACAAACAAACAAACAAACAAACAAACAAACAGAAAGCTCGCTGCATCCTTCACACACTACTGAAAGGCGAGAGCTACACGGCACGGCTGTTTTGTCATCCTCTCTATAGTTGCCATGGGAGCTTGAGAGCTCGCGTGAGCAGCTGCAAGATTCGTTGATGCCGCGGCTGCCGTTTCTGCTGATGACGATGAATCAAGGCTTAGACCCTTCTTATGGATTGGTAGCTATTGACCTAACACTCGCTGCGCATTCAACAAGGAGTGACGCACACGGTGCGATTCCAAATTTCTACCACACAATACAACATCGATAAACGGTGCAATGTCGTGGTAATAAGTACTGCATAAGTTTTTTTACAAGCAAATTTTTAGCACTAGCGTGGCTGTGTGGTGAAAAACTTGTCCGCCACGCAGAATACCCGAGTTCGATTTCGGCTTGGAATCAATTTGGTAGCGAAGTTGAATAAAACCCACATAAATTGAACAAAATCCACTACTCACCACTGGTCGACTAAAATTGAGGAAGGGAACACACTGGAGGCTGTGCCTGTGATCTTATTTTTTCGGGGCCTCTATTTATGGGTTCTTTAGTGCGAAGCTTTGCGTGGCTGCGTGGAATGACCTCAATTAAACTAATCCACTAACCAGCAGATATATATTATTATCCATCTGTGTCAAAGCACGTATTTACTTTAAAAAGTGAGGGCTTGGATTTATTTTATTGTTTATAACTAAAAAGAGCTTTCATTTAAAAAAAATCATGAAGCACCGAATTTCAAATAAAGATTGCAATGCTTCTTTTTATAGCCTCCCTTATTCTGATCTACTATAACATTTCATGAGACCACTCAAATTTCTCAATACTCGACAATGGGTGTGAGCCACAGTTTAAGGTGAACAAGAACGAGAAAGAGTGCTAACGAAGACCATGCACAATAGATAAAGCGCGTGAGGCAAGCTCAGCAAGATAATGCTTGTCGGGGCAAAAAAAATTACGCTGTTCGAAGGTAAAACGTAAAAAAAAATATGCGCTAATCTTAGAAGGAACTTTCTCGAGAGACATCGGAGATTTAGTTCCAGGTGGTGTGATCGGCTGTGGTTTGAAATTTTTGGTGACCTCTGTGTCCATGTCAAGTGACAAGCACAACCAGTTTCACCAAGTTAAATGCCTGTTCAGTTTTTATTTGACGGGTTTGGCAGTGTACTTTCAAAACTGTATAGTTTCAACTTCTTGAGTGAAACTAGCATGCACAACGACTGTCGAAAAAAAAAGAGGAATAAACACCAACAATTAGGACACTGCGCGAAGCGAATTTTGAGCGCTGGCAGTGTTCGCGCTGCTCTTCGAAGAACGTCTCGTTTGCAACTCGCTCACGTTTCTATACCTCATTGCAACGTTTAATTAACTGGAGGTGAGAAGCTTGGAAATTCCTCGCAATGCGCAAGGGCTAACCTTGATCTTACACATATTGTAACGGGTCCAAGAGAATAAACACCAAAAACTAGTTTATTATGGGCGAACTTGTGCCCTGAAAACTATGTGCAAAAAATGGAAGAGTCCGCTAGAGCGTTCCAAAACAAAAACTGTTCATCCGCCAACGCACCTTGTTCTTCGCAGCTCCAACCCACACTGACTCGTGCCCGTGAAAAAGAGGCGCAAGTTGTGCGGCCATAAGCAGGAGCGCGCACAAGACTGTAGACGCTGATTCTTCATAATATCGGATAGTGTGATTAGTCTCTGTGGAAATATCAGCAGTAATTATTCTCATTTGCTATGAAATGGCAGAAATGATGGTGACATCACCAAGAAGAAACTCACTCGAAGAAACAATGCTGGGCTACAACCAAGGTAAGCGTTTATTTGACAGTAGCACGGAACTACTAGGTCCTTCCTAGCAAAGGCTGACCTTATGCTTAGGGACATCCAAGCTTCAAAAGAAACCCCTTCGGGTTCTTGCCACACGTTTCGCGTTCTCCGGGAGAGACCAATCAACGTTGTGGCTTCTGTGAAAACATGGCAACGTCACACGGTCACCTCGTTCACTTCTTCGGGACCTCCTTGTTCTGACCAGAAGACTTGGCCTTTGAGGTTCCCAACGGCGAGCTCTCTTTAGATCGCTTTGCGGCCCCTGCCCTTTTATTGCCAAGGCTTGTTGGCTGCGACGGGTTCATAGGCCATCGCAAACTTCAAGCTCTGTCCATCCAGCCTGTGGCAGCTGCGGTCACTGACCGTCTTGATAAGCTCCGCGGGAGAGGGGAACTCCACCGTGCAACTTCCCGTTGCGGACACCGCCGGTCACCTTGCCCATCTTGAAGACAGGCTCCAGCTTCTCCTTGCTGCGAAACTCTCTCGGCAAGTTCGATATGTCCAGGATGCTGGACGATACACGCGGGCACGTTCCGGGATCGTGCCAGCGCTCGGCCAAGTACGTAGCCCTGATGGGAGTTCCCTTGACCAGAACGCCATCGAGCGCTTGAACGGCCGCGACAGCTTCTTCGGCGGTTCTGTACGCCGCGTAGTACAGGGTCAAGTTACCGTCTCTGATTAAAGTACTCGTTTCCACGGCAGCCCGAGCAGAGGCCCACGACGTCTTCAGCCCTGACGCCCTTGGCGAAGCCGGACAGCCTCACCCTACGCGAGTCGGCTTCCTCGTAGTCGATGACTTGAGACTGCGGAATGAATTCTTGGAGGTTGATCTTCACGACGGGCGAGTTGTCGGGATCGTCCCTGGCACGGCGCTTGGAACCGGTCGGTACTTCCGGTCTAGCGGCGGGTTTGCGCTCCTCCGACGTCTGGGTGCCGTGGTCGCTGGTAGGCTTCTGGCGTTGGGTGTGGGCGTTGGCCGTGCCTCCTTGCGACGGGCCGGCCCCGTCATCCGGCAGGGAGTTGGACTCGCTCATGGAGTTGGACTCGCTCATGGAGTTGGACTCGCTCAGGGAGTTGGACTGGCGTCGCTCGTCGCCGCACTCGCTCGGCTGGGTCGACAGGCTGCGGCCGACTTGGCCACCGTCCATCGCCCGAGCCTTGGTCTCGTGCGCCGAAAGAAGAACGAGCCTTCCCGACGGCCTTTGCGATCGTCCGCTTCGCCAATTTGTTTGTTTGCTTGAGCCTTTCAGAATATGGCACATATCCACTTTGGGAGATCGGCCAAGCTTTCAGTTTTAAATATAGTAGAAACTTCAAACTTTGTTGAACGATTAAAAACAATTACGTAAATAAGAAGAGAACACTTTTAATATATAAAAAATAAGAAGAGAATTCTGGCTAATGTATCAAATATATGCTGTTCTAACTGTGCGATTGTGGTAGTAGAACAGACTGCCGAATTGACCTGATGGTATTTCGAATTTACTTGCTGGATTCTAAAAATGATTCCCCTACACTAGGAACAAGGTAGCGCGAGCAGTCGTGTTAAAAAGTAATACTTCATGATAGAATCGCAGTGTCATACGAAGCGCCGCCACGTGACATCAGAAGCTTTCACTGGGCAAGTTGGTGTGATGGTGTTGGTGATGATGGTGATAATGATCCTTGAATTATTGGCACCTGACCACTCAGTGGTCGAACAAGAGTCCGGCGCATCATGCAAACTGGTTTATTATTTTTAGGTGATATTATAGGTTACAGATACAATTGTATTAAAGCGTTAATAATTATGGATCCTAATATTAGCTTACACTACCTGGAGTGCTTTCACCTTGAATGTTCTTTACATATTTATCGTTCTTTCGTGCTCGCTATTTGTTTACGATGCCACCATGCGAATTACGCAACGAGTGGGTGGTTTAAAGGATCATCCACTACAAAGCACTCAGGCAAAATTATGTTTCATAGTTAGCCACCCCATCGACAACGTGTGTGGCAGCGTAGATACGCCTAATTGATTGATTGATTGATTGATTGATTGATTGATTGATATGTGGGGTTTAACGTCCCAAAACTACCGTATGATTATGAGAGACGCCGTAGTGAAGAGCTCCGGAAATTTCGACCACCTGGGGTTCTTTAACGTGCACCACAATCTGAGCACACGGGACTACAACATTTCCACCTCCATCGCAAATGCAGCCGCCACAGCCGGGATCCGAAGTAGATACACCTGTTCCCGTACGGAATCGTAGTGGCTGCTTCGCCAACTCACAAAGTGACGAAATATGGCGTGTAAGGCATTCACAACCGTATTTGCGGAACAAAGTTTACGCACAGAGTATATAAAAAGATGATTTTTTTTAATCTACGTATTCTACACAGCTCACATGCAGTATTTTATTTAATCTGTGCATTGTTCGTGCTTTTATACCGAATTAAAAGGCTCTTTCATTCACATTTTTTTTTCAGAGAGTGCGCTTTGTTGTGTGCCAACTTGCCTTACCATCGTGCTTTTATACGTGTCGCACGATTTTTCGTGCACTATTTGGTTGTTTGTTCGCATTTATTGTGCTTGCCACAGTTGGTCGGAAGTTTCTTCTTAGCATTTTATCTTTCTTACTTAATGTTTGCGTCCACCTGTATATGAACCTATGATACTTCATGAGACGTTCATTAAAATATTGATTAGATTTATTTATTTAATTATCACTTCTGCCGCCGCCATATCAACAAAGTGTGCTGCTATGGTCAGTTGGTGCGCGATTTCCCTCCCCAGTTATGTCCCGCGAATACGAGACGAAAGGATATGAACATCACGACAAAGGCTACAAACAGCGCCCTGTCGAGAGCTCGCGAGACGGCTTGCCACTCCTCCCTCAGTCGCGGCTCCTGATTGGTCGAGACCGGCGCCGGGGCCTCGGCCATCTCCGCCGCCATTGGTGGGTCGTGGCTCAGATGCTCCATTTCCGTTTCCCGCGCAGCCGCCGACGAAGCCGGCTGGAAGCCGCCGACGCAGAGGAACTGCCAGAAGGGGGCCTCCAGGAAGTTCACCAGTCCGCGGGGCACCTCGCATCGATCGGCCGAGTGCAACAGCTTGTGCGCAGCGATGGCACAGGCCAGGGACGCGACAGACAGCGTTGCCGAGAGAGACACGAATACCACTGGCAATCGAAGGAAGAAAAGCAAATGAGCTTATTATTTGCCGGTGTTCGCGAGCATCAGCATACATCAAGGTGACTGAATGAAATAATGTGTGTACACTAACGCATTAAGTATTATTTTTAATAATTGTTAATTAATTGAACAGCTTTCACACATTAGGTTGCAGTTTGTTACACAAGCTGTCGAATGAGCGAGTGAATTAATGAATGCGTGTGGAACACACACACACACACACACACACACACACACACACACACACACACACACACACACACACACACACACACACACACACACACACACACACGACAACTCATTCATTCATTCTACTACATTGCGTTGATCGGCACACAGTGTCAATCAGTACAGCCAATAACTTGTTCTTCGGCATATTTTCCATCGTGTGAAGGTCTGAAGCATGGTTGAATTCCCCACGTTTCCGGAAGTGACCGATGACGTCATGGCATTAACTCAATTAACTCAATAATATTCACGCTCTACAATACTGAAGGTATTTGCTACTACCTACAATACATACGGGGAGCCTCCGATGTCTCTGCGTCAGGTAAACACTCATTTTCTCAAATTATTTCCAATTCTGCCTTTTATAGCATTACTGCCACTTCTTGTACCTGTAAAGCGTTTTCTACTCTTAGCACGTTTGCGTTAGGAGAAGCCATTCTTGCAACGCGGGAGAGCATACGCACGCAGCAAAGGAACCGGAGTTAAGAGAGAGAAATAAATAAAGGGAAGAGACAGGGAGGTTAACCTAGAAGAACTGGTTTACTACCCTGTACAGGGGTGTGGAAGTAAGGGTGGGAAAGGCGATAGAGTTAACCTAGAAGAACTGGTTTACTACCCTGTACAGGGGTGGGGAAATATGGGTCGAAAAGGCGATAGAGTTAACCTAGAAGAACTGGTTTACTACCCTGTACAGTGGTGGGGAAATAAGGGTCGGAAAGGCGGTAGAGATAGAGAGAGATTAAATACACATACACACACATTCAGGGAGTTCCAATCACAGTCGTTTGGACAGGCCGGTTGAACGCAAAAAGCGTAGGAGCGCCTTCACAGCCTTTTTTTTTTTTTGCGACATAAATTCCTGTCGGTAGTGCAGGATTTTTTTTTTCCGAAAGAGTCTGGTTGTCCAGTTCGTCTAGTGCATTGCAGAGCGACTGTCTCTGCGAGCAGCATCGTGAGCATTCGCACGGAATGTGCCAAGTTGTTTCGTCACTGCCGCAATGGTCACAATGGTCGCATGCAGCAGTGTCGGTCATTCCTATGCAACCATAACCTGCACAGCCTAGTAGCGTCTCGTCGGCGAAGTTCCGGAGGAATTCGAAGACTGACAGTTGGGTCTAAGATATATAATCGTGCAGGCCTGAACGTGATAGCCACTAATCTCATAAACACTTCAAGAGTATAGGGAGGACGTAAAAAAACAAAATTAGGTTGATTTTACAATCCAATGTACAGTCTTGATTACTGGACTCGGCGAAATTCTTGGCAGCAGAATTATGTTCTCGTACATGAGTGATGCTAAAAACAGTCTTCTGTTGTTTCAAAGACTGACTGAACGTGGCAAAAATCTGCGTGTTAACCTCAAAAATTGAAAGGAAAAATTTTTTTTTACACCATCAAGCAGAGACTACTGATAGCCAGGTGGTTGCTGGTGTGCTAACTGGAAAATGTTTATCGTCCACGTTTGGCATGCCGTCATAGCTAATGAATTGTTTCGGTAGAGCCCTTATTTCACGCGCTACGTCTCCTTTCTCATATTTAGATGTTTTAAGTATTGCGAAAGTCATCTGGAACAATGATTCTACTAAACAATAGAGCGCTTGAATCGCTTATACATACAAAAGCATCGCGGTATGTCATACATGCCAAAGGCTCCCTCAACCGCAGAGGGGCCAAAATTTAGTTGTGATATCGCGACTGTGCGAAGTCTTTGACAAACACGACGCCACTAGAATTTTCCGAAACGGTGCTGTGATAGCGGAGTTACACAAATTTCATGACCCAGAAGAGACCCTTTTTCATGTCACTCTTTCGGTCACTGTATCCCGTTCATTGGCTACTCTCTCTCCAATCAGAGTAATGCTCTTCAGTGCTCGAGAAATAAGAATGGCGAGCGCATGTACCTTCGAGCCTTCGAGAAGTCAGTTTGTGGTGTGTGCATGTATGTGTGTGTGTGTGTGTGTGTGTGTGTGTGTGTGTGTGTGTGTGTGTGTGTGTGCGCGTGCGTGCGTGTGTGTGTGCGTGAATGTTTGTGCGTGAGTGTTTGTGCGTGAGTGTTTGTGCGTGTGTGTTTGTGCGTGAGTGAGTGTGCGTGAGTGAGTGTGCGCGTGTGTTTGTGCGTGAGTGTGTGTGTGTGTGTGTGTTTGCGGGGGGGGGGGAGTGAAATGAGCAGACGAAAGATTTGACGTCACGGCGAACGTTGGGGATTACCGTAAGGCCCGGAGAAGACAAGGGATTGTTTCTTGGAATTAGTGGGGCGCCCGCGGCTCAAAACATTGCCGCGTTTAGCACTGTTGATTGTCAAAGCCTAGTTAACACGTTCGTCGACTTGAAATGTTGAAATGTTAAAGAAACTATCAAATGTGGTTTAAATGTTATTTAAAGTACCAGCAGCAAAAAATGCTGTGACTCGTACCATGAGGAGCGGTGATAACAGATCCGGAGTGGTATTCAGACAATGTGGACAACCAAATGATGGTGACCAGAAGATTCACGGAGCACAGCGTCACCCTTGGTCCCGTTGTGGGCAGCCAGAGGCTTGCCAGAGTCATCAAGACCACCGCCACGGTCGGGCATGCGAAGCTGGGCTCGTACTTTTTTCTTAGCACTAGTTTGCAGCCTGTTGGTGAAGTAGCCAAGAGAAATTGCATCAAGATGCTTGACATAATAGTAATCGTCATCACTACTATAATAACGTCATACTATTTACTAGATCATGTACGTCTGAGCAAGCCCGCGATGTGGGGGAAGGTTCAAGAACGACAAAATTACCAGTTAATCCAACAGCTTGTTGAACGAACTACAAAAGGAAATCGAAGGAATTACTCAGGAAAGAAGATTTAGCAGATGAAAAAAACATGCCCATCCAGGTTTCAGATTCAAACCACGGAGGAGCCCACGCAATGCGGTTGCCATACATCTTTGATGACGTGGGAATTAGCAGATCTCAGCGTACTCGACAATTAGAAGCAACCAGAATTAAAACCAGCAAACTTCATTCTTCGGATTCTACATGCCAGCACCGCCAATCGATTTAGGCACGCCATAAAGTGTAAACAACTTTGCACCATTAAAGCGATTTCAAGCAAGCAAAACATTTTGCTTAACCAGAATTTGCAAAAGTGAAGGTATAAGCGCACTTTTTATCCCAAAAAGTCCTTAAGGGGTGATTTTTACTTATGGCACCCTTTAAGAGTTAAGGGTGTTATGGGCTTCCGAACCTGTGGCCCATACAACACATGAACTTACCTACTTTCAGGTGCGCAGGTAAATACAGGATTGTAGGATACAGGTTCACCGGTAATTTGGAACTCTGCATATGTATCTTCGGCCCATTCAAGAGCTAAGTAGAAGTCGACACCTTGATTGTGCGCTAACATTTCCTTAATCAATAAAAAAAATGTCGCATGTCTTGAATACATATGCGCTACACTTAGTACTGACCCCACGTTTCCTTCCTGCGGGAAAGTTTTCCTTCTTATATGTTTAAAACATAACTGCATCAAGACCTTTCGCGCCGTTAATGGGGAATCAATGAGATGCGGGCGCGCACATTGCAATAAAATGCGAAGAAACTCACATATTTTTTCCATGTTCTGAGAACCCTTCCCTGACCTCCCCTAAATTAGGGTTCATTCACAACCTAGAGTAGCACCGGTATCGCGCCAGGTCACAACTGGTGACTAAGAAGTGATTCAAGGCGGTGTGTGTCTACACCTTGCGTGCGAATCACACCAGTCGCCACACAAAATGTCCTCCTGTTCGCATTGACATAACACCGTAAAATAAAATGGCGTCACATTTTTGGCACCTGAGCTATCCTGAGGTTTTCTTCTTAAGTCACGCATCTGTAAAACCAAGCAGCCAGAGACTGATCCAAATATGGTTGATTGAGCGAGCTGGTGATACATGATGGTTTGAAATAAGAGCGGCCCCGCCGCGGTGGTCTAGTGGCTAAGGTACTCGGCTGCTGACCCGCAGGTCGCGGGTTCGAATCCCGGCTAGCGGCGGCTGCATTTCCGATGGAGGCGGAAATGTTGTAGGCCCGTGTGCTCAGATTTGGGTGCACGTTAAAGAACCCCAGGTGGTCGAAATTTCCGGAGCCCTCCACTACGGCGTCTCTCATAATCATATGGTGGTTTTGGGACGTTAAACCCCATAAATCAATTGAAATGAGAGCGCACTACTTAGACGCAGACAGAAAGACAGGGACAAGCGCTTACTATTTGAAGGTTTATTTGGAAAGCTATGAAATATATACGAACAGATGAAACAGTGTCGTGACACATGCGATAAGACCAAATCGCGGACCGAACCAATAAAACCGATAAAATATCTATGAGCGTCAGCCCCACTTTACCTACGCAGACTTTGATTTAAAGTGATTACTTAACTCCTATGGCATCTGCGACTGTACTAAAACGCTAGCTCCTTATCAGACAGAGCTATTGATGGTTTGCTGACGTAAGTGAAGTGTTCACGCAACAAACCGAGAGATAAGCGCACAAGGTTAATAATTGAAGCAGCATACATAGCGCGTAAACACTTGACTTGCGTAAGCAAACTATCAATAGCTCTGTCTGACAAAGAGCTAGCGTTTTTGGACAGTCGCAGATGTAGGAGTTGAGTAATCACTCTAAGGCATAGTAGGCGTAGGTAAGGTGGGGCTGACACACATAGATATTTGATCGGTTTTGTTAGTTCGGTCCGCTATTCAGTGTTATCTTATGTGCCATGACACTGTTTCACCTGTTCGTATATATTTCTTAGCTTTCCGAATAAACTTTCAGTTGGTAGTACGAGCTTGCCCCCGTCGTTCTGTCGGCGGCTGCATTTTCGATGGAGGCGGAAACGTCGTAGGCCCGTGTGCTCAGATTTGGGTGCACGTTAAAGAACTCCAGGTGGTCGAAATTTCCGAAGCCCTCCACTCAGGCGTCTCTTATTATCGTATGGTGGTATTGGGACGTTAAACCCCACAAATCAATAATCAATCTCTCTTTTTATCCGTGTCTAAGCAGAACACTCTTGTTTCAAACTAACTGGTCCAAAGATCCGCTATCCTGGTGGGCTCGGCGGCTGTGCCACGGGACAGTTGCCTAAGCTGCTACTTTTCAATATGCAGGTCGTCGCCATCGCAGTGATCTGCGCAGCTCTGCCCGCTACCATACTGGCCATCCCGCACGCACCCTCAACCTGTGTGGAACCATGCATTGGCCGTATATCGGTTGCTTTCTCATATGATAAGCAAACCGCCCCTGACACGGATTTCGTCACCATTGCCACCTGGATACGCCTATGTCAGCAACATCAATCGCCTCTTCGGCTATAAAGGAGCGACACCCTCGCGCGCCCAACTGTGGCTCGGCGGCTGTGCCACGGGACAGTTGCCTAAGCTGCTACTTTTCAATATGCAGGTTAGTCGACCTTTGAGTCTTTACGCTAAGAAATCGAGCGACTTGTTTCTGGTACTGCTGCCGAGCCCCCAGTGTTTGTTATCCATTATTGTAGAGTGTATTGATGTCTTGCGTGCCTTGCTATTGCTGTCAGGCGACATTGAAACTAACCCCGGCCCGGAATCTAACGCTATACTAACCGAATTGCAAAAACTGTCAGCAGGGCAATCACAGCTAATAATCGAACTGAAGGGTTTAAAAACCGAACTCGCCGAAATAGCAGCATAATAGGTGAACTTAGCAGAAGAATCAATATCGTTGAGAGCCACTGTCAACGCATCGAATCCCTGCAACAACAGGTCAAAACCATCACGTCTACTACTGCCGAGACAACCCAGGCAATCTCAGACATAGAAGCACGAATTGATGACGCCGAAAATCGAGCCCGCCGCAACAATCTAATCTTTTTCGGTATTCCCGACCCTGGTGCATCGGAATCTGCCTCTCAGATAGAAGAAAAAATCATTCGCCATTGCTCAGATCAGTTGGGCTTAACTGTGAATCCCGACGAGATTGAGCGTGCGCATCGTCTCGGCCGCCACAATACTAGCCGTAACCGCCCCATAATTGCGAAATTCGCTCGCTTTAAAACCAAAGAAAAAATCCTGTCTAATGGACCCAAGCTCAAAGGCAGTAACTGCAGAATTGGTCAGGACTACTCCCGCGCAGTACAAAATGCCCGGAAACACCTTCTTGCTTTTGCAAAGGCGAAAGCTGTCGCCTTTTCTCTACGTTATAAAACCCTGTACATAGGATCCGCGAAGTATATGTACGATGACGCAGCGAAGCGTGTTAAAGAAATCAGATAGCAATTGCCACATCATCGACAGCCATCACAGCGCTCGATAACAATACGCCCAAGCACTGCTATTTCAGCAATTTTTACTAACATACGGAGTTTTCTTCCTAAACGCGACGTCGTATGTAATATTGCCCTATCGTCTGGGTGTAATTTGTTAATACTTACCGAAACATGGCTTACTGCCGACGTATCCGACGCAGAGGTTATGGATGACCTACCGGGCTTTCATGTTTTCCGCAAAGATCGTCAGAACTCCAGAGGTGGTGGTGTGCTCATTGCCGTCAGTGATACCTTGCCTTGCACCATTGTTCATACACCCAGTGATCTTGAAATACTATGGCTACTTTTCCGTTCCTCTCCTCATACTATTTTACTTGGTGTATGCTACCGCCCGCCGCGAACAGATACGGACTTCATTGAAAAGCTTAGCTGCGTCTTGAACACACTCACGACAAATATATTAACGCTCAGATATTGTTCTTTGGGGATTTTAACTTCCCTCACATAAATTGGAATAGTAATCCGCCTTCATCAATGAGTAAAGCCGATAATGATTTCCTCGATCTCTGTTTTAACTTCAATTTAAGTCAGCTTGTGTTACAACCAACACGCGTTGCGCATGGCTCAGCCAGCGTTTTAGATCTTATACTAACCAATAGTCCAAATAGCCTATCTTCGATGTCTTACCTCCGCGAAATTAGCGACCATAAAATAATCCACGCAGTCTTTAGCTTTACCTTGCTGAAACGAGAATCGTGGAGAAAAACAATACGCTTATACGGCAAAGGCAACTACGATGCCATAAACAACGAACTTATCGCTTTTTACTCGACTTTTTGCACCGATTTTCACAGCCGCACACTTCATGCAAACTGGTCGATCTTCCAACAAAAGTTTACTGAGCTCGCCACCAACCACATTCCAGTTACTTCAGTACAAGCTAACCGCAATAAACCTTGGTTCAATAGGAAATTAAAATCTCTAGAAAATAAGAAAAAACGACTTTACCGATTCGCAAGGCAACAAAATTGTACCACGGCCTGGGAAAAATATTACGTAGCTGAGAAAGTTTACTTATCAGCTATACGTCATGACAAGCACTCCTTCTTTTATGACACCTTACCCTGTGTACTCAAGAGCAACCCCCAAAAATTCTGGCAAATTTTAAACCCCAAGCCACCTACTGCTGTTGTCATTACCGACCATAACGACATTGCGATTCCTGAGCAAGAATGTGCTGATGTATTTAACCTTGCTTTTTCATCTGTATTTACCACTGAACCTGATGCTCCTCTACCAGTGCCCCCACCCCCTGTCCAAGGTGTCATGCCAGCAATCCAATTCAGCGAACAAGGAATAATTGCCATAATTGAAAATCTTAAACTTTCATCAACTTCAGGGGCAGATGATATCAATACAAAACTGTTAAAAAACACCAAGAACATCTGCGCAGCCTATTTCAGAATTATTTTTGAGCAGTCCTTATCATCCGGTAGCATCCCCCTCTCCTGGAAGGAAGGGCAGGTCGTTCCAATCTTCAAATCAGGCAACAAAAGCTCTCCTCTCAACTATCGACCGATTTCCCTGACTAGTGTACCTTGCAAGATAATGGAGCACGTCATCTACACGCAAATCATGCAGTTTCTTGACAGGCACAACTTTTTTCACGCATCTCAACATGGATTCCGGAAGGGCCTCTCATGCCAAACGCAACTTGCCATGTTCATCCACGACTTGCACATCAACCTCGATACTAACAAACAGGTAGATGCCATTTTTCTTGATTACGCAAAAGCTTTTGATAAGTTACCCCACCAACGGCTGTTACTTAAGCTCTCTCAGTTGAATCTACATCCCGATATTTTCCATTGGATTAAGGAATTTCTTGCTAGCCGATCACAGTCAGTACATATCAATAATTCCATTTCCGCCACCCTCCCTGTAACATCTGGCGTTCCACAGGGCAGCGTCTTAGGCCCTCTGCTGTTTCTTATTTATATAAATGACCTCCCTCTACATGTTTCCTCTCAAATCCGAATGTTCGCAGATGATTGTGTCATCTACCGTACAATCACTAACAATGCTGACCACGCTATTCTGCAAGAAGATCTCAACAATATTCAGGATTGGTGCAACGAATGGCTGATGACCCTCAACCCCAACAAATGCAAGGTAGTATGTTTCACTCGCCGTCTTCAGCCATTATACACACCTTACACTATTGCTAACACTTCATTAGAAACAGTGGATACATTCAAGTACCTTGGTGTCACACTCTCACATGACTTAAACTGGTCGCCTCATATAGCATGCATTACCGCCTCGGCCAACCAAACCCTGGGATTTCTAAAACGCCACCTGCGTCATGCACCACGCCACGTAAAACTTCTAGCATATAAGTCACTCGTACTCCCGAAACTAGAATACGCTTCTCCCATATGGTCACCTCATCAAGCATGTCTTATCAATACCCTAGAAGCCATTCAGAATCGCGCAGTAAGGTCTATTCAATCATCATATTCCTATAACATCAGCATATCATTACTAAAAACTCAGTCTGGTTTAAACACGCTATCATACCGGCGCCGCATTGATTCATTAATCCTTTTTCACAAGTTCTTCTACAGCTCGCTTCATCATGCCCCATATATTTTGGCCCCGCCACCGCGCACATCGCTGCGCACAGGGCACCACTTGCAAGTTTCTCGTCCACGCAGCCGCACTACAACATTTTCTGCATCTTTCTTTTGTCGATCATCAGTTGACTGGAACGGCCTGCCCCGCCATATCGTCGAAACCACCTGCTCATCATCATTTTCGGTAAAACTAAAATCTGCTGTTTTTCAATAAATGTATGTAGCCACTATTTTGTAAAAAAAAAATGTGTGTTAACCCCACCCCTTATGTAATACCTCCAGTGCGAGGTCTTTAAGGAAAATAAAGTGAAGTGAAGTGAAGTGAAGCAAGACGTATCTCGGCCACACGGGAAAGTGCGTGAATGAGCGTGCGCGGAAACACGAACTTTCACTAAAAGGTGAAGGCGGCGGCACATTCGCCGACGAACTGCAATTTTCGTAAGTGTGAAACGTGCCCGAATAAGATTTAGGTTATCGGCAGAAGCAGGCACACCATGGCTCGAGCATCGTTGGAGGCATTCGACGTAAAAGCACAAGGTTCCTTATCTATCTGTGATACGTCAGTGTCTCTCTAGCAGGCAGAGAACAAGTTTTTTTTAGTTTACAGGTTGTGATTAGGGTGGTTTGCACTCACTGTGTGCCTGATAGACTGCGCATGTCTGTGCCTATAAATTTTGACGCAGAATATGATGAATAAACAGTTGAAAGTTTGCGCTTTTCTTGACTCCTTCCTAGTTTCTTTCGTCGCCCCCCCCCCCCCCAAAACAACAGCCATTTTTTGTGGTTTGTGCAGAAACATGAACCCGACTAGCATAACAAAGAGCACTTCCTATCCGAATCAGTCGCTTTGCGATCTGAGGGACCACTTGCGACCAGTTTCCCTCTGGCTCTTGTTGAGTCTCGGGTGTAAACGAACCTTTAGAACATATGGATGGACGGAAGACGAAGGAAAAAGTAGAAATGTCATCTTCTTCCAACTCCGCAGTTATACAAATGGGCAGGAGAGATTGATTGATTGATTGATTGATTGATTGATATGTGAGGTTTAACGTCCCAAGACCACCATATGGTTATGAGAGACGCTGTAGTGGAGGGCTCCGGAAATTTCGACCACCTGGGGTTCTTTCACGTGCACCCACATCTGAGCACACGGGCCTACAACATTTCCGCCTCCATCGGAAATGCAGCCGCCGCAGCCAGGGTTCGATCCCGCGACCTGCGGGTCAGCAGCCGAGTACCTTAGCCACTAGACTACCGCGGCGGGGCTATAGAGTCAAATTGGGTGAAGCGGGCGCGCGAGAAAATCGCCGGTATACGCCCCCTCACCCAGCGTGGAGTGGTACAGGTTTGTGATCCTGGTCTGCGACACTTCCCAGGCCGGGTTGTGCTCCACGTCGACCTGCACGTCGCCGTGCAAACGCACGTGGTGGCCGCCGAAGTCCAGCGTATTCAGGGTCATCGCGCACTCGTGGCGACTCGACCGGAAGCCCTCGGGTGTGGCCACGCACCTCGCCGGCAGCTGTTTCACGTGGTCCAGCGAAACGTGACCGGACGAGTTCACACGCGCCATCAGGCGGGAGTGGCCGCTGCCGGACGATTGTGACGTAAGCAGTGGCGAGATGCTTCTAAACAAGTGGACAGGAAAGAGGGCACGCGATTAGACTTTTTGTTCTCTACTGATTTATTTACTTATTTATTTATTCACTAATCGATCAACCGACTCACTGATTGACTGAGCTAGCCACGGAAATAATGAGTGATCAGTTTTTCTATCATGAGCTTATGCCGTACGATGACAGATAATAATAATAATAATAATAATAATAATAATAATAATAATAATAATAATAATAATAATAATAATAATAATAATAATAATAATAATAATAATAATAATAATAATAATAATAATAATAATATCTCAGGTTGTAAGTACTTGCGGCGTGCTTCATAACCACTAGGTCATTATGAAGCACGCCTTTCATTGCGGCGTGCTTCATAACCACTAAGTGATTATGAAGCACGCCGCAATGAAAGGCTCCGGAAGTTCTGGAGCATCTGGTGTTCGCTTAACGAGCACCGACATCGCACAGTACACGAGTCCGACCTCCATCGAGTATCGAACACGCCATCTTCGGGTCAGCAGCTGAGCTTCATTGCGCCACCGAGGCGTACGACAGTTAACAAGAGTAATCGCAACTTGCGGACATAGCCTTCACAATCCCCCCCCCCCCCCCCCCGTGTCTACTAATATTGCTGGGCGCCTATTCGTGATAAAATAGGTAATCAAGAAAACCGTGAGGAGGAAACAAGGCTAGGACTAAATATCTGGTTAAATCATTTTCTCGAAATGTGGCATGCGTATAGCCTACACCAAAAAGAGAGAATCGTAGTTCAGGCAGAACCACTTGAGGTTGTTGTCATTGCGTGTGTATGCAGGAGCATCATTCAATTGAGAGGGAAAACAATGTCGCCCTTATAACAGTTGACGGCCTGCATCAGCCCATATATTAGTCAACATTGGGCCAACGTTTGTCGGCAATAATCCAACAGTAGCCAACATTAGCAATCACTTAGCAAACGCTATCAGGCGTTGGCTATACTTTAGCCTACACTATAGTCGACCTTTCAGCTAACTCGTGATGCTACAGTATGAAACTAAATACAGTATAATAATTTGTTTTCAAATCACCATCATCATCACGTTTACGTCCACTGCAGGATTAAAACCTCTCCCATGCTCCGCCAGTCAACTCGGTCCTGTACTAGCTGCTGCCATTTTATACCCGCAAACTTCTTAATCTCATCTGCGCACCTAACTTTCTGTCTCCCCCTAACCCTCTTGCCTTCTCTGGGAATCCAGTTAGTTACACTTAGCGACTAGCGGTCATCCTGTCTACGCGCTGCATGCCCGGCCCAAATCCACCAAATCCATTTCCTCTTCTTGACTTCAACTTGATTTCAATCAGTAGACTTTTTACTAATGGAGGCTAGCCCCTTGCTGCAAAACAGCGCACTTGCCCTACGACGTTGAAAAATGTAGACCCGTGACAACGTAAACACACACAACAGGCAAGCCCTGGCGCATGTGCCTAAAACGTCGTCTCCGCTTGAACCACAACAGATGCCTCCATAAGTAAGTGGAATAGGCAGTGCAGAGAAGCGCACTTGCGGATAGTTAAGGTGGTCTATCGTATATGCAAGAAATCCCTATCTTATCTGTCTGTCACGAGAATCGGCGATAAAGGAATCGAATACGTATTCACATACTCCACAGAGACGACTTGCGGCACCCATATTTTTTCAGCCGGAATCACGATAATGTCTTCGCCTCCGTAATCGCTGGGCTTCCATGACAGGAATTCGTCTTTCCATTTCTGGATATGAAAAAAAAAAAGATTCACCATCCAAGCAATTTTCCTGGGATTTATCGAAACGCCTTCTGTTGTAGCTTTTGATTTACCTATCAACACGTTCAAAAGATGCGCTCTTCAAACTCTGTGTTTGGTCGTTAGTTAAAAGGATATCAAAGAGAGTACATATACAGTTTCCAGACACTGCAAAACGGACATTTTTCGCTTCCTTGTTATGCAGTTGTTGTACGCTTTCCTGACACCGGAGTCACACAACACGTATAAGTTGATGGTGAAACAAGCCCCAATAAGTACGAGGACGCAGCAAGGACGCAGCAAGCGTTCATACTGTGTCCTTGCTGGGTTTTTATACTTATTGAATTGAATTTGATAAACTTTTATTTGGTCCTCCAAAACACAGATCACTGTGTTGCAGGCAGCTCCCACGTGTAGACTGAGATCCTCAGCCGCCTTGCGGGTTTGGTGGACAGCCCAGAGCTGATCTGCCAAGGACGAGCTGCGGATTGCCGCCTCCCATCTGGCAGAGGTGATGTTCGATATATGAGCGAATTTGGTGCACTTATTGGCGCTTGTTCTATCATGAACTTAAACGAAGATGCTCGACTGGCAGTCAACACGTATAAAACATTTAATGTTTTGTCCCTGAGCATCAGCAAGCCAGCCCAGCCACAATATACATTATCCCGACAAGTCGAAACAGTTCCACTGAGTTTGCCAACGACGCTCTCTATACGCAGTCTAAATCACACACACACACACACACACACACACACACAAAACCCTGTCGTATCACTGAACGACAATTCAGTCATCCTTTTTTTACGTGTATTAAGTGCAGATGGCAGATCTGCCGCTAGTACGTCGACTTGCTGTCTACCCGGAAGCCGCCCCATCGATTTCGAAGTCGAAAGTGCATTTCTAAGGCAGTGGTATTAAAAACACATTCGATGAGCTTCCACGGACGACAATACTCTTTTCTAGTGTTCTCACACCAGTGCTTTTATTTAGAGCAACAATCAGAAATCTTTCAATGTTCGTGCCAATAATCCTTTATGAGCGCATAGAAATTTTTAGTTGGAAGTGATTTACAGTGCGGCGAGTATCAGAACCAGCTATATGTAGTGCGTCGACGAAACCCGAACAGAAACTATTCTGCAAGCGTGGAGACCCTTTGACCAGCGCATGTTAACATTTGTTCGTCATTATGGTTTCTGCGAACTCCCAAACAGCCTCGTTTTCCCACATTCTAGGCCACACAGAGCTTCGCCTAAGGCCAGAAACCAAAACCATGCCTGCTGAGACAGACGTTTCGTCATGACGTCATTACAAAGTGTAAAGTGCAATATTCCATAGCACTATGCATTACTGATCACAAAGCAACTTCATGGACACACATAAGTCATATTCCAATTAGAAAAAAAAACTAACATTTAAACAAAACTAAAGGGTTTACCGCGGACATGACCATGTTCACTTTGACAGTCTGCCTTGAGTGGTCCTGCGAGAGAAACGGAGAAGGATTTCAATTACAGAGTGACGTGTTTGAGCACATATAGTGTTCGAATGCACATCATCGCTCACCATTTCGGCAATCTCTTTGATCAGCATGTCTAACGTCACCTCCGTCACGTTCGTGTGATAGAACACTGGACGTACTTCCTTGGAGTATCTCTCTGGATCGAAGAGATGCTTCAGGAGATTCTCATGATGAGCCACTCTGTTGAGATCTGTCAACAAATGCATTTCGGAGAGAGCTGGTGTAAATAAATGCTACGTGGCCATAGGTAGGTGACAAGTTGCGAATCACCAATTTATAAGAGTGCATCTGCACTTAGTCAGCGGCATCCGAAAGCGACAGTCACGTATAAATTCGTTTGAGGTCGCCAATTACAATTGAAGCCAAGTACTTTTGTCTCTACGAAAAACACGACGTTGAACGTGTCGCTTGTAAGTAAATAAACTATAGTTTCGCTAGGTTTGGGATGAACTCCTGAAAAGTCTGGCAGGCTTCACAGGACATCGTGATATCAGAGTTCAGTTATTCGCGATATTACCAACAGACCGGCATCTTCGAATTGGCCTATCTCATTTCCGATGGAGGCGGAAATGTTGTAGGCCCATGTGCTCAGATTTGGGTGCACGTTAAAGAACCCCAGGTGGTCGAAATTTCCGGAGCCTTCCACTACGGCGTCTCTCATAATCATATAGTGGTTTTGGGACGTTAAACCCTACATATCAATCAATCAATTGGCCTATCTTTTAGGTGATCAAGAACACTTAGATGAGCCCCGCCGCGGTGGTCTAGTGGCTAAGGTACTCGGCTGCTGGCCCGCAGGTCGCGTGATCGAATCCCGGCTGCGGCGACTGCATTTCCGATGGAGGCGGAAATGTTTTAGGCCCGTGCGCTCAGATTTCGGTGCACGCTAAAAAACCCCAGGTGGTCGAAATTTCCGGAGCCCTTCACTATGGCGTCTCTCATAATCATATCGTGGTTTTGGGACACTACACGCACCCCACATATCTATCTCAAAACACTCAGATGAGAGGGGGGGGGGGGGGGCTTTTCTTGACTCGCTTCTACCATGGAAGCGAGACAGCACAGCCGCAGCTTTGTTGATTGGGCTTATCACCAGAGCTGTTTTCGTCAGGAAAGGCTATGTGAAAATGCTTAGCTGTGTTAGGTAATACGCTTATGAAACAGCGAGACAACCAAATATTATCAGAACAGAGGCTTAGATAACCCGAAACGTGAGAAAAACAAAAAAATGAATTGCGACACAAGCCACGAAGAGATCGCCAGCCTGATCGTGAAGTCACAGACTTGTTTCATTTACTTCTCTTACATACCGAAACCACAATCTGCTTATAAGACATGCCAAGCACCGAATTAAATACCACCCGATGTGTTAAAGAATTGTTTTTCAGTTTAATGAGCATACAATAACATAAACACATATTTCAAACCCTCATCATATGTATTGTTTAGAAATCTGAAACAAAAATAGCTTGAGAAATGAACAAACAATTACAGCAACATCGTGAGCTATATTACAAAAAAAAACGAATAAAAACCAACGTTTTACATCCGCAGTGGGGTTAATGACTCACTTTTGTTGCTTTTCATATAAAATGAATAAAACGATCGAGTCATGACAATAATAATGAAATGCGCGTCGCCTCCATAACGTTGCATTAGCTTTCTTGCGATTCGCCATGTTGGCGATCGAACCCGCTACCATCCTCGCCCCCACAATGTATCATACATCAAATGTAGTTATGTAACAGATAATAACGTAACAACATCAAAGTGCGTTTAATTATTACGTATTTAGCAATACGTAAGGATGATCATGCAGTGGTTCATCATAGAAACTTTTGTGGAATTTTTCTTGCACAGTTTCTTGCAAAATTTTCTTGCAAAGTTCAACCACGAAAAAAAAATTATCGTAATATTTGTATACGAGCGCATAGACTTTCGGCCGAAACGTGATAATCAAAAGTTTTGCTGCTCCTAGCTCCCCGTCATATATCAATGTTGTCACCAAAAGAATGGAGCTTAAAAATGTTCTATACTGCTTTAGCTTAGTACGTTAAAATTTTACTTGTCGTTCAAGTGTCCCAGCACGAAAAGAAGACCTCGACTAACATATTATCGTCCTGAAAAACTAAATTGGATGTTCCATCAAATGTGAGAGTTGAGGAAGTGTTTTTACAAATTAACATTGTCGGCGACTCACCCGAGCCGGCTGATTTCACGAAGGTTTGAAGGGAACACAAAATTACGTACGCGATGCACACCTTACGTAGCATATCTGCGCTCTCCGTGAAATGAGCGGACGCACCTGATAGAAGCGAGGCGGTTTCTTACGCGCCGGCAGCTGCATTTCATCACTGGTTTCGTTTTTATTGGCACATTTATGCACCTTGCGTTCGACGCGCCAAATTTAGGCGCTGCCGTTATCAGAGTGTGCTGCTTCTGACGTTGAGTTAGCTTAATTTGTAACTAACTGAATGTGTTTTCGCTTCGACTCTTAATATATTTGGTTTCAGATGAAGCAAAGTGATAAATAGGTCGTGTTTGAACCCAGACTTTACACAACGCCCTAATAATTCTTTAGTATCTCGAAGGACCTGTTTTTGTGCGACAAAGCGCAACGTTACGTCATAGACGCCATGTCTAAAAACAGCAATAAGCTTGACGCCAATTTTAGCGAGATCCGCTTTGCAAGTTGGCAACGCCACCAAAAAGCTGTCAGGAGAAAGCAAAACTACAGGCTACATCGTGGACGAAGCTGCTTTCGTTGCTGCGAAGTTAGTTTCTACCGAAGTTCGCCCGCTTCTTTACGTGCATCGTACTCCGGCGTGTCAGTGCACTAATGATAGCGTGGTCTTCGTTAAGACAGTGTCAAAGATGTACACGCTGCTTTCCGGCCTGTGGAAGTACATCAGCCAGCGCGACGAATACTACGTGCTGATTCTCGGACTTGACAACGCTGGCAAAACGGTAAATCGCGCTCTCATTCCTTACTCGACTTGTTTTTGGATGAACGTAACAGTGTATCGCTGTCGGACCCTCAGCCACAGCGTATTCGGGGCTGCCGATCCCGTTCGGCGGCTTCCTTATTTGCTGTGAGATCAGCTCAGCGGAAGTGCGACATGCAAACAGAAACTCATGTCGTCGTGCTTTTGTGCAGACTTATCTGGAGCAGACCAAGACGAAGTTCTCGAAAGGGTACAAGGCCTTGAACCCTCACAAGATAACGACGACTGTCGGTTTGAACAGTGAGTCTGATGAAGTATTTGCATTGTTGTTGTGTGAGCTCTCGTTTTTTTTCCAGTGTTGACTGTAAACATATGATGTCTCATTCGCTTTCCAACAGTTGGCAAGATCGACATTCACGGCATACGGCTAAACTTCTGGGACCTTGGTGGCCAGGACTCGCTGCAGTCGCTATGGGACAAGGCAAGCATTGCCAGTGACAAATCGCTTGGAGAGCCCGAGGGGCCTGTGAAATACTGGTGTTAGGCGATACGTTAATTCGCAGATTTCATTCTGTAATATTCGCGCTAATCGAACGCTTTATTCTCTAGCAGTAATGGCACGCTTATACTGCCCTAGTGCCCGCACATAAACAAGATCAGGAAACAAAAATCAAGAAGAGGCCATGAAAGCATATTGTGCTGTTTCGCTGAACTCAACTTTGTGGTAGCGCCTCATGTGTGCCAGTATTAGCTAGGACGTCGCCTTCATTGTGCTGCTTTCAACGTGTAAACTACTGTAAAACAATTAGCACCCTATCTGTCATTGTGACTTCGGTTGCTAGACATTTCCTCAATGATGCGTTTACAATTAAGCTAGGGCAGTATGAAACACTTAAAACATAAACATCTCTCTCTCTCTCTCTTTTTTATCAGTGAATGCAAGAACACATCGTGTTGCATGTTACTAGCACGGCGAGACATGTTCCGAGTTTGGAGTGCATGCAGTAATGATCAATGAATGTAGCTCTACATTGAATAAGTTCGCAGTATTAGACGATTACCAACAGTGTCATGACAAGACATGCAGTGTTATGCAAGAAGCAGCGAGAGGCAGGTGAGAAGTTGCCAATGAGATCATTATATGATGCGGCAGTGTTGACACTTCATTACAAAATAAGGCAAACATTCTGTTGCTCTTGTCCACTGAATGTTACGGTGATCGCCTTTCAAGACTAATTATTGTGTAAATGTTTGCTCTTTTTAGTACTACGCAGAATCTCATGCAGTCATATATGTAGTGGACTCTTCAAATAAGAGTCGTATTGATGAGTCAAAGGCTGCATTCGGTAAGCATTGCTTCAAAGGCTAAACAAATTTATTGGGAGAAATGGAAGTCATTTTGCAAGTTATCTACCTTGCTCTTACTTTCAGCCAAGATGGTCGGAAATGATGCACTTCACGGAGTTCCTATCTTGCTGGTGGCCAACAAGCAAGACATCAGTGTAAGTTCACGACAGTTTCTTTCTAGTGATTTCAAGAATGCTGGTTTCAAGTAGAGGCTAAGCACACATACTTGCTATGCTAATGTTCTGCATTTACATTTAAACGAGTGCATAAAGAATGGTTGATTTATAAATGTAGAGGGAGTCCCATTTCTTCAAAAGGATTAGATTTTCCTACTACTAAAATGATACTCAAAGTGGTTGTGAAAACCTTTTCTGAAAAGGTTGAACTATGTGTGTATCCCAAATCATGGTCATTCATTCAATTCTATACCTCGACTCGTTTCATTTTTCAGATTCGTTTAAATACTGTAAAAGCACAATTTTGATTCCTCGCTCACGTTGCCCTCAACTGTACAACTGACATCACTTTAAGTCAGCCTGTGAAAAGTCTATCGTCGACAAAACATGGCAATGTTTGCTAAGCCATCCATAGTTGACGAAGGTTTGTTGCACCATACCATCTTGACTGCGGTGCCGTAAAGTCGTCACGAATATTGTTCCCCCTATTATAAGTTCTTCTGCACTGTCCGTTGGCGCACAGGGAAGGCATAGCGAGGACTAAGCCAACGAAAATATGCTGTAAATAGCAACCTAACACATCTAGTAAGAGAAACGCTGGGACGCCGAGATAGCTGCGACGAGCAAGGGAAGGCAACACGTGATGGAGCCCGGATCTACTTGAAAATGGAACCAAGCAGATAACTTGCTGTACTTCCACAGCATGCACAGCCCGTAGTGAAAAAAATGCTGTTATATTTTTTCTCTTTCCTAGATTCTCATAAATCTGTCATTTCAGAGCAAAAGAAAGCTAACACTGTGTTTATAACTTCTCTTGCTATGATGTTTCACTTAAGTCACATGTTAGTGCCTATGGCAGCCAATAGTGCTGCATGATCAATGAAGAGCTCACGAAAACTGCAATTTCAAATGGGCATCAATAATTATAGTCTAGATATTGTGCCAAAATATTTTGGGATTAGCATGTCTGATCCTTATTGATTCAAGGAAAGTTACTACTGGGCACCTTCATTTTTGTTTCACGACCATTTAACCGCTTTTTCTTTTGAGCTTTGTAGAAGCTTTGTAATAAATGACACAACTCCCAGAAATATGCAACAAGAACAACTTCTTTAAACGACCTAGTGCTATGGAAATGGTCCAGTGTGCTACATGTAACCCTTTCCCTATGCCTTCAGCTTACCCAAATCTTCTGAACTGTGCCCTTTGAGGTGCCTCGCCGCCCATGGCGTTGCATTTTCCCGAGTATTAGGCGGGTGCAATTGAGTGTGACCAGTCAACGCCGTTTTTCTTGCAAATACCCAATTACTATCCAAGTTGGAAATGGAGATTTTTGATTACTATGGTCTGCTCAGCTAACCAACTTAATATGCCTAGTAACCTTAGATCAGCAAAAATAAAGGAACCCACTCAGACTGACTCGTGAAATAGATTTTGCACTTGGGGGCACGCTCGGACTTGCACTCACAAAAGTTTTGTTCAGCCGGGCTTACCAAGATTGCAACTCACCGAAACATTACTCACTTGAACTCTCTCAGGCTCAAGCTTGCAGCTCGATCCCAGTCCGAGTGAGTCGACCCACGAGTCCTTTAGTTCAGAATTCGCTTTTTAAATTATGCCGTCGATGCTCTTTAACACCCATATCTCACATAATTGGTGCTCTTCTTGGCGCTTTTTAATATAGTACCTTGGCAGTTATGAGTGGTTGTAAACCAGCAAGGACATCTTTCTCGAAGATGACAATATAAAATATATCAAGAACTATCCTGGAAGAGTTGGCGGTGGGGGGGTCAAGGCATTACTTACGTAATGCCTCTGATCAATAAATATAGAAATGGTGAGCGAATGATACTGCTTTGAAATACATGCAAGTATAAACTGTTAATTCAGGTAAGGTAGTGATGCTGGCTGCGGGGGCTGCATTTTCGATGAGGCGAAAATGCTGTAGGCGTGTCTGCTCAGATTTGGGTACACGTTAAGAAACCCCAGATGGTCGAAATTTCTAGAGCCGTCCATTATGGTGTCTCTCGTAATTGTGTGGTGGTTTTCGGACGTTAAACCCCACATGTCTATCATCATCAATGCTAAAGACAAGTAGAAAGGACCATAGGTTGAAAAAAAAAAAAAAAGTGGAACTCGTTTAGACCCACTCAAGAAATGTATTTGCGCTTTGGCCTCACTCGAACTCGCCAAAATTTTCCTGAGCCGGACTCAGTCGGACTCACATTTGCAAAAATTTCGAACCATACTCGCTCCGACTCAAACCAGCTAAAAGTTTTCTTCAACCGGACTCGGACTCGCAGCTCTCTCCGAGTTTGAGTGAGTTCGCCGACCTATGCTAGTAACAGAAGGAAAAAGTGCACCAGTGCAAACATTTCGCTTCCAGACTAATATGTAGCACCACATTTTTGTTTTTCTAAAAGTTGACTGGAATGTCATAAAATATGCATGACCAGCAGCTCCACAACGTACGACGCCTCGGTTGCAACGATGTTTATTTGGCCGCGAGCTCGGGAGTGAACAAGAGTTATGAATCTGGTGACGAAGCGCTAATACAAAAACAGTCATAATTGTCAGCCATACATGTGATGATGATTGATTACTGCTCAGATGAGGATGATATACATAATAGATGGCTACAACATATATGAAATCATGGTACGTATTTTTACCATGATTATGGTAATATATTTTTATTTTTTGCCTATTATGAAGACCAAATGTGGTATTGAAACAAGAAAAATTAATTTCAGAATAAATTTTTTGACGAGCAGTGCTCAGGTGACATTATGTGAAGATTGGCAGGCTCCCACATGTCCCAGAAATATTCTAGTACACTCTTTCGAATGCCATAAAC